GCAAAACCTCACACAACCCAATTAAAAAGTAGGCAAAAGACCCAAATAGACATTTCTCAAAAGAAGATATATACAAATGGCCAACACACATATGAAACATGCTCAACACTACTAAGCATCAGGGAAATGCAGACCAAACCACAGTGAGACACGACCTCATTCCAACTTGAACAGGTGTTATCAAAAAGACAAAACATAACATGCTGGTGAGGCTTCTGAGAAAGGGGAACGCTATACATTGTTGGGTATGTAAATGAGTACAGCCATTATGGAAAACAGTGTGACATGTCCTCAAAAAACAGAACTATGATCCAGCAATGCCACACTACTGGGTGGATATCCAAAGGAAACAAAAGGAGTACGTCAAAAAGCCACCTGCACGCCCATGGTTACTGCAGCACCATTCACAATGGCCAATATGGAATCCACCTAAGTGTCTATCAATGTATGAATGGATAAGGAAAATATGGTACACAAATACAATGAAATACTATTTAGCCATTAAAAAAGAACGAGAATACTGCCATTTTCAGCAACATGGATGAACCCAGAGGACATTATGTTAAGTGAAATGAGCCAGGCACAGAAAGACAAATATTGTATCATCTCGTTCATATGTGGAATCTAAAAAAGCTGATCTCGTAGAAAGAAGAATAATGGCTCCCAGGGACAGGAAGAGTAAAGGTTGGGGGGGGGGGTGGTTGATGGGTACAAAGATACAGTTAGATAGGAAGAATAAGTTTTGGTGTTCTATTGCATGGTAGGGTAATTATGGTTAAGAATATTGTACTCTATGTTATCAAATATCTAGAAGAAAGGATTTTGGATGTTCTCACCACAAAGAAATGATAATTGTATGAGGTGATGGGTACTATACATATCCTGATTTGGTCATTATACAAAATATCCCTCTATTGAAACATACATGTATAATTATTATGTGTCAATTAATTAAATAAAAACCAACTATTAAAAAGCCCCCAAGCTTTTAGATCCTTCAAAGCACATGCTCAAATATTTCCTCCTTAAAAAAAAAAACAAAAAACAAACAAGCTCCACGAAATCAATACCAATACTTCCTCACTTACAAATAATTCAAAAAGAAACAGAACAAAACACAAAAACCTTTAATACTTCTGTGTTGTAGTTTAAAAACTATGATGTTTCTGCAAAAAAAAAAAAAAAAAAGCTAGAGTAGAAAGGTGAACAGTGTTTCCTAGAAATAGGCTAATTCCAGTTCAGGTTCCAAAAATCCACTAGTTGGGCGTGATTTGGAGAGAGCGCCTTTCTCTCTTCACGCCTTACAAAGAAAAAAGGGTGGAGGTGGAAGGTGTACCAGCTGTATCTCCTTATGTGAGTCACAGAAGAACAAAGAGGCCTTAGTAAACTTTTGTTTCAGGGGATAAAAATTTAATCCTGTTGCTACATGCCTGATGTCTGTTTATTAATGCACAATAACTACTGCATTGTCACATGACTGAGAAAGAGAAAGTGGACCAGTATTTTTAAAGTGACAAGATTTCTGTTGCATTGAGAAATCCCAGAAGATCCTAGCTTCATTTTAATATAAAATGTATCAGATCTACATTCCTAAATAGAAAAAGGTACCAATATGTAAAGCACATAACAGCTGTAATAGATCTTTTTCCCCAGTCAAATTTGAAATAAAAGACTTGAAGATCCAAAGTTACATTAATGCAAATATCTGCCTGTTGCAAGTATACTTTTTGATTAAATTGGCATACATCAAGTACAATTAGAAAGGTTATTTATAACGAAGAAACACATAATTCTGCATCTTAATGGGGATGACAATTACAGCTGATGGTTGCTAATTAACACTACTTCTTTTGGTTTGGGCGTTAGATACTTTCTGTACAATTTTATTGTTGGCAATGGACACATCTCATTCTGGAAGGCATACAAGGGTTAATTATCAGTAACATTTGTGCTCATAACACATTCATTTGAGAAGCAGATGGTTACCTACCCAGCTCTGCCTTCACATTGGAGACTAGAGGATCAAGTAGAACTGGTAATCTCTGACTCAGTCTCATGGCAGGAAAGGTATTTATTCAACTTTCTTTCAGAACCAAGGATCACCTACCCACTAGGTGGTTTGTGGGGCCTTGCCAGTTCTGAACCAGAAGACGTGAAGGGCACCTTTTGGTTCAGCCCACCACCTTCTTGTGCCAAGATGACTGGTGTGCTTTTTCTCTTGGGGAGCTCAAGGGTGTGTTATCAGTGTTGGAAGCCAGAGTGAAATGGAAAGAAGCATTGCAGCTCTCAGCATAGAAAACTAGAATGCCCTCTTTGCTTGTGTTGTAAATTACATATTTATTTTGTTAGCATGAGATAGATAAATAATTCTACATACAAAGGTGCCCAGCTAAAATCAGGATAAGTGATATTAATGTCTTATGGTCAGTATTATTGAACCTCGAAAGTAATAAACTTTATGAGTCGATAAATATTACATTCGCAACATAGTTAACATTCCTTTACTGTCTCTAGCACTTATTACACATTGTAACTGCAAGTCTACAATACATTATTCATATTTGGGGTGTCACCAAGTGATGGATTGCTGTAGAAGAGGCTGTCCTTTAAATAAATCAACAAATAAAAATGCAAATGTTAACATTTTCAGCCACAACTTTTTCCATCTTGAATGGGGAATGAAAATTTCACATGATATTGACAGCCAGCAGAGAGAACAATTAACAACCTACATTGTGAATGGGAAAGATGACTTTGCCAGGCCTGTTTTCTTTTCACCTGCACGCCGGAAAGATATGGGACTCTTCTAAGCATTTTCAGAGGACAAAGGGAAAAACCTGACTCCTGTCCCACACCCATCTTCTTTTGCAAGTCTTGAAAATTCTTGGAATTTAGTGTGGACTCTGGTTTTACTTTACAAGGTCTGCTGAGCTGCAAAACAAAGGGCTTTTCTCTTGCATTAAGAGTGTGCATGTAACTGAAAAGTAGTCTATAAAAAATGTCTTCTCTACACTTTTAAATAAAAACAATTCAAATAAGACTGTTTCTGATATCCAGAAAGCAACCATCATGCCTTCTTGGTAACTGATTTTCATAGCACTGCACCTTTTTTCTACTCTGCACTTTGTGTAACAGACCTATAATCTGCCATTGTGCACCTCTAAGGATAAAATCCGGCGGGCTACACATTGTTTTATTAAGCCAAATGCTCATGATTTGGAAATCTTCTGAGAATCTATATTCAGCTGATTTGCAGTATTAAGGACTAACAGATGAAGAATCCTTTTTAAAAGCTTTGTAAATATAAGTCTTCACAGAAACTTTAACCTGGGCTTGTAAAATTCTACGAAGTTGATACGGTCCATTCAGAACATGTGTGCCGAGGATGTTTTACAAAACCCTTAGTGGGGAAGCATTTCATTCCTCTTTCTCATGCTTCCCCGTAAACCGAAATGCAACCATCTAGAACACATTCAAGAGGTGTGTTAAAGACCTCATTTTAGTATTGGAAAACAGGAAAATTCACTAAGATTGAAAAGCTAGATAATCTCCCCTTTTTAGGTTTAACTACTCTAAATGCATCCGTAAAGGTGAGCTAGAGTGGAGACTCTTGAGCACCAGCTTTTAGCCACAAGTTTAAGTGGTCCAACAACAGAATCACAATTCATTTGTGGGTCTTTGGCAACATGCCAACAATAGTAGCATTAAAAATAAAAGGAAGGAACAGTAGAGAAAGAATGTGGCAAACTAGTTAATTCTCTTTGGATCATGGGTGTCCTCTAAAATAGGAAATTTGTCATTGTCAACTATTATGGTATTAAAGATTATGACCTTTGCAGTTTGAAATGCTGACTGTGCTCTTAATAGCCTATGTGCCCTTAGACAAGTCATTCAAGCTCCCTAAGCCTTAGTTTCCTAATTTTTAAAATGGAGATAATAGGACCACATCGTAAGGTTGTGAAGTTTAAATCAGGTAATGCATATAAGGGCCTAGCACAGTGCTTGGTACATAGTAGAAACTTAATAGATTAACAGGCATCATTATTATCCTCTCCCTACTAGAGTCATTTCTCAATAATTCTTTAAACAGCTTATTGTTGTTCCAGAATTAAAGGAACAACAATAAGAGCCATAACAGAATGAACACTGATTCATTCTTAAGAATGCCCAGGTCTGGCTTCTGTGGGACAGTCTATCTACAGGCTCGGGGCTGGGACACAACTATTTAGAGAAGAAAGAGACAATGCTTCTCTTCCTTTTGAAACTATCTTAAACCAAAAGAATAAATTTTAGGATATGTTTTTAAAATCATTAGGTTTAGAGATCAACAATTTAGGCATTTCTACTTGGCAAAACTCAAGGACTTTAACTACAAATTAAGCACTGAAATCTATAGTCATCTGAAAGAAGCTAGGAACTTAAGCACTCAAAACCAATCATGTCCCCAAGGAAATATAAACCAAGCCCTTTTGGTACTGATATTTATACATTCAGACTTAAGCACATTTATGGGAAGTTGGTTCATTATATATGAGAGATTTTAAACATATTTATTTCCCTGACTCTAGCAAAGGCTGATCAAATTATTAACCCCTCCAATGTCTCTGGCACAAAACATGATATTATTCCTTTAACAAAAGCCACTATAATTTTCAATATCAATGAATTCAGTTGGTTAAAATTATAATTCAAATGTATAACTATTCTGTGATAAACTGGGAAAGATCTCTGCTAAATAAAATTTCTGATGAAGGATAGAATTAGCTTTGGTTTCTATGGAAACCCTTGTCCATTAACATGATCAATTAAGGAAGTGCATGTATAAAATAAGGAAGTCCATGTGGTTTATACTTGCCAGTCAAGATGCTTCAAAAATAAGGACTTTGCTTTTGAGTAAAAGCCACTAAGAATTGTCAAGATTTTTTTCATTCCTTATTAAAAAAACATCAAAAAATGCTCTCATATGGAAAATATCAGACCAAGCAATCCCTGCAGATTACCGGGAAGTACTGTGTTGGAGTGATGATGAGGACGTGGTCGCAAGCTCCTTTTGGCTTCCTGTTGGCATAGGAGACGTGGATGCATCTTTTCTAACTCCTGTCATTGTTCCTGGATGAACAATAAAGGAAATAATTTGTGTAGTCAATATAAGTAAATTGAAAAGTCCATTCTATGTAATATATTAAAAATTAAGGAATCCCCAAGCTTTAAAAATAGGCTACTTTTTTTTTGCCCTGAAATGGGACAATGGCAGAAGGAAAACTCAGTTTTGTAAACATCTGAGATCCATATAGCCTTATTTTTAAAAAAGTACATTTGTACAATACCAGACTAGAAATTTTGCTTTTAAACCTAAATGTCTATCATATTCCTGCTGATCTGAGTTTACTGTGAAAATGCCCCAAAAGGTAGGTTGTTTTATTTTGCTCCCTTTAGTCATCATAAAAAAAGATTCTAGTATTTTGACCCCTGAAACTCTCCAAATCAAATCAATCCTCTTCAAAAAACTTTCAAGGTAGACTTATGTCTTGAAAGTTTCTTTTGAAGAACTCTACACTAGCTAAAACATGTTTTAATATGAAGAGATAAATGCTTATCTAACTATTCAGTCTAGCACCATAGGCAAATTCTTAAGCAATAATTTATCTTCCCACAGTAGAGGCTCAGATTTGGCCTCAGTTCTTTTCTAACCAGCAATATGTTGATTATTATGTTTCTCTTCTGAAGTGCTAAATAAAAATATGGTATAGACATGAAAAGTTTTTTGGTTTTATTTTTCTATTTTTTATTGTTTTCTAAGTATCAGGCTTGGTGCTCATAGCACAGCCAGCCACATACACCAAGGGTAGCAGGTTCTAACCCAGCCTGACCAGCTAACCAGCAATGACAACTGCAACCAAAAATAGCCTTCCAGTTACTTGGAAGGCTGAGGCAAGAGAATTGTTTTAGCCCAAGAGTTTGAGGTTGCTGTGAGCTGTGATGCCACAGCACTCTACGGAGGTGACATAGACTCTGCCTCAAAAAAAAAAAAAAATCATAAAATATTCCTGTCTTTATTTGGAAAACTACAAGAATCTCATTTACAAATTTTCTTCTGGCTCCTGAAAAACTGTTACCCAGGATACATAAAGAAGTTATTTGGGAAGATCCAAAGGGTGAGGAAAGGGTGAATATTCAAATAACACAAAGACAGTGTTGAAATGTTGGGAATACCAGACCCTTAAATACCAGGAGTACAGTATGCTAACTCTGGAAATGGCAATAGTTTAGGTGTGACTACAGAACATCAGGCCTAGAAAAGGCCAGAGTCTTCATCTGTAGAGAGTAGCATCAAAATGATCACCATTATCCTCGGTATTTAAAAACTATGTTCTTAATATTCACTATTCTCTATTATGTACAAATGTAAAAGATGAGCTGTCTAAATGCACAATTCAATTCTCTTTGTGCAGTAACAGAATCAGTACCCTCGACTCAAACCAGTACATATTCATAATAGACATAAAGTCCATTAGTCCATAGAGCATAATTAGTCAATATTGACTGAGTACTTGATGACAGAGAAGGGCCAGTGCCAGGATTAAGCTCAGGCTTAGTTTATGAGGAGGAAAGGAAAGTGAGAGTAAAGAAATGAGACACCCCTAACAACTCTATTAATAAAAAAAGCCAACATAAATAACACAAGGCAGTATAACACCAAGTGATAGTGTGCTTACTATGTGCCAGACACCGATTAACCCTTTTTCATACACAGGATGGACAAACTTTATGTCCACCCTGTGAGTACATGTTTTCTTTTCAAAGCCTTATTATTAAGACATAATTTGAATACTATAAAATTTAATCATTTCAACTGTACAGTTTGATAAATAGAAGTCAAATTATACAGCTAAAAAAGCATGGCTGCAAGCCGGTTTTTATGAAAAAACTTTATGGGACTTACATATTTATTTTTACAATCTAGTTTTAGAATGTTTTACTACTCTACAAAGTTCCCTGGTGCTCATTTGTAGGAAATACCTATTCCTTAACTAGGTCTGGACCTAGCCCCCTCTAGCTCTATTTCTATGGTTTTATCTTTTTTAGAAATTATTTTTATCCTCAGAAAAACTCTTACTCGTTGATAATATTTTTAGAACAAATTTATAGTAGAAAAATAAACCACAATAAATAAATAAACCATAGAGAACTTATGTGACCTGCCCAAGGTCACAAAGCTAGTAGGCAGTGGAGCCAGCATCCGTGTCTGGATAATCCCCCAATTTCTGCCATTACGCTCTGCTGCTGTAATAAGCAGTATGAAAAGTCTGTGAATTAAGAAGTGGGGAGGATCACATTTAGCTACAGGATTAGGGATGATGTGATGTAGGAGGTGAAATTTTGATAGGAATGGAGAGCATGGAATGTGTGACAGAGAGAGTGGCATTATCAAACGCATTAAACTGAAAACTTCAAGGCTAAAGATTTCATTTAGTCAGGAAATATTTATTGAACATCACTATGTCCTTGTACCTGGCTAATCACTTTAGATCACTTCACATGCATTATCTCATTAATCCTTACAACAGTCTTTAAATTATATTATTGTCCTCATTTTGTAGATAAGGAAGTAGAAACTGTGAAAAGGTCAAGCAGCATGACCAATGTCACACAGCTAGTAAGAGCAGAGGTGGGTTTTGAATGTGATCAAGATCTGTTTAAGTCTGTACTGCAAGCTTGTAACTATTATGTTACACGGCCTCAAAAATAAACAAAACAGTTAACAACAACAATAAAAATCCCAAAATCGGTCTTTAGAGAGATTAATCTTGCAGCGGAATTTAGACTGAAGTGGAAAGACAGACCCGAGGCAGGTTAAGCAGTTCAGTATCAATATCAAGGTCTGGGTAGAATCCTGGGTAACGTGAGAGGAACTTAAGATGGACAAACAGGAGTAGAAACAACTGCAAGGGATTGATGGGTGAGGGGAAAGGAAAGAAGACATGCCTGGTAGTGACAGAACGCAAGTAACTTTTTAGTCGCTACCACAGAAGTCCTAAATGTTAGTTTTATTTTTCTGTTTTCAAACTTCTCTTAAAAATTTGGCTGTAACAACTGACATTTGATGGGGACAATTTAAGGATGGAATTTTAACAGCAGGTTCAGGGACTTTTATAACCCCTGCACTTCAGGAATGTGTGAATCCCTTGTAATTGAAGGCACACAATGTGTACATGTATGCTCATTCATTTTGCTGGAGGAAAGGGACTGTAGCTTCTGCCAAATTCTAAGAGGGTAGGGAACCCCAAAAAGGGCAAGAATGTTTGCTCCAAAGCAGTGATTTTTCCCACAAAATTTGTTAATCCATTCACAGTATTAATGCACACAGGTACGACTTAATAATCAAAAAATAGAAAAAACAAAGCAGTGATTTTCAACCGCATGCCATGAACATTTTAAAGGATCATTAATTAAATTATTTTCAAAAGTAGTTCAAAACATAGTATTTCTTTTTTTTACTTTTTTTTTTTTTGATCAACATAATTTAAGTGATGTGGAAGCTCACCTATAGGTTCTAATGTGTTGTGAGGTTAAAAAGGTTGAAAAACACTGCTCTAAAGCACAGGTCAAGCGTAACTATTCCTTGTTCTTAATTCTCTAAGCTCTCTTCCTTATTAAATTTCCAGAAAGCTATACTCGTGTCAGCTTTTAATTATATTTGCTCCTTCTTTAAGCTTTTATTTAATACTAAATATACCAGCAATTACATGCAATTATGCATATTTATGGAACTATATATCCTCATGTATTTACACACAGATGCAATAACAATATATGTGTCTAAAAAATAAAAGTGCTGGTAAGAATATTACCAATTAGGCTAATCAATGTCATGCA